ATAAATGGGCAATGGTATGTGGTTCATGAAACTTAAAGAAGTCAGGAAGCAAACAGAATTTAGACGTCGTGATGCTACATTTGCTATGCTATCTGCAATATAATCTTTTTGTGTGCAAAACCACTGAATCCGTCTAAATAAAAGCCCATAGCTGGATGTTGCTAGGGTAGGAGACAAACAAGTAGAGATAATTGGTTTTGATCTCAGTGTTTCAAATGGATTTGAGCAAAGGACTAATGAAAAGTAGACAGCTAATCTGATAATGGCATTTACCTAAATGAGTACAGACTAAAGTCATAAACAGTAACAATAATGCAGTAGTATAAAAATCGATTTTTCCAGCTTGCATTAAAATTTGTATTGTCTAAAACTGCTGAATGTGTGGGTTCTTAGTTCCCACCCTGTGCATTATCCTAATTACTCACAAAGGCTTAAAATTCTGCAGAGTTCAACAGATGTCGATCATCACCATAGATTTACATCTGCATGCAGGATTCCTTGCAGTACTTGTCAACTGGTTTCCATATTGTACAAAGGAAAGAAGAATGAGGCTTTGCTAAAAGATATGTGAGGGACTGTGTATTGGAGGCTCAGGAGAAAGAGGTCAGGTACACAAGAATAGCTTACACATGCATAAGAGTAATTTAAGCACATAGAGTTACTTAAGTCAGGGAGTACCACTTAATGTTTACTTTGGAGCCACCAAACATCCAAAAAAAATTGTTAAAAAAAAATCTTGAAAGAATATTAGTAAAACTGCTGTCTGCGTCTTATTAAAAAATGTGCTTATGATTGTGGACAAGAAATATGGGAAGAGTGGACAGATTCTTCAAAGGCACAAAGTGCAGTTAATCAGTCATCTGCTTTGCCAAGTCATGTGCTCTGGTATTTTAGTTACTTACCCGGTAAGTGAACTGCTTGGTTGAGTGGAGGAAAAATGTTAGATGTTGGTGAGAGGGCCAGGGAGAAAATGGAGCTGAAGCTGGAGAATAGTGAGGGAAAAGAAGCGACTGGCTGGTAGAAGAAACAAGAGAAAGGTTTTAGTCTATTTAAGGTTTTGTAAAAATCAGTTTTGAAAGCACCCTTGCAGTTAGCTGTTTGCATCCTATCAGGCTGGCTGTTTTTACACTCCCACCCCATCTTGTTGGTAATGAAGGAGCCATTTGCACATCATATTCTGATCTAAAATCTAAATAATAGAGAAGAAGCTGTGTATGTATGTCTGCACACATATGCAGGGCATTAATTTTAATAACTCTATGCTTAAAGATCATCTGCTCTTCTTAAAGCTTCTTCAAGGAGACGTGTCAGGATGATGTTGAAGCTGAAGTAGGTTAAAATGTTCCTTCTCATCTGGGGAGAGAAACAGAAAGTATCCTCTGTGTCTGTCCTGTCCTTTCCTTTCCCTTCCCTCCTTTGGTTACCTCACAGAGTGGAGAATAGCTTAAGGCAGATGTGACTGATGTGATTGCACCAGCACTCATTCTCCAAGGAAGCTTGACTTTTCTGGACTCTCCCAAGCCTGGTTAATTTTGCCTTAATTTACAGGCTGTACATAAAATTGTACAGTGCTTTAGGAGGAAGATGAGACTTTTGATTTACCTTGTGTCTTGCAAAGCATGGGATTCTGAATAGATTAAGTTGTCAAATACTGTGTTTTGGCTCTTAGAAGACAGTGATATTTATTTGCCAAATAAAACAGACTTTTCCATTTCTTGAGCCTCTCAGTTCTTTAGCAGACTGGGAGATTGCACTGGCTCTAACACATGATTTTCCAAAAATATTTTAATTAATTAGTCATGCGTTCCATTAGCGTAGTAAAACCCTATGTTAATGTGACCTAGCAGAGATTTTATCAAACCCACCCCGTGTAAGAGAGGAATGTCTTTTTTTAGCGAAGAGCAACTGGACAGAGTGATTGTGCTTTCTTTATTGCTGTGTGGTGACCTGTCGTGGTGTTGGAAGGTGCAGAGCTTGCATCCTACCACTTTTAGCCAGACAGACCTGACCCAGTGAGCTAAGGGACATAATGTGAGCTAGCAGACTGCTGGAACAAGCAACCTATTTGGAAGGAACAGCCCTTATAATCTTGTTGGGTGCTTTCTCCTTTCCCTTGGTTTTAAGCCCTTAACCTCCTGTTAAAAAAAAAAATAATAAAAATATTACATGGGGTGCTTCCATATTAAGGTGACATTAATGAATCCTACCCAGTAATCCTGGGTATGATTTCTGAGCCAGTGCTTAGTTGGCTGCTCTGCTCATATAAGGAAGCATAGCTCTGTGCGAAGCGGTTTATTGGGGTCCTCAAATCAGAATACGAATGCAGGGCTGTACCACAGCTAGCAAGCAATGTCTCTCTGAGTTACACTGGTTTGGTAGGGCTAATGCTTGAACTGGGCACTGCAGTGGTACAGCTCCCAGAGTGCAGTTACAGAGCTGACTCAGAGATAAAGCTGAGAATGCAGTTACATGCAGAGTTAGATTTGGCCTTGGTAATTTTTATCCCCCCAAAAGAGCAATAATTCATGTCTCCATGCAAAAAAAAAAAAAAGAATGTTTATTTGACTTGTGATAATTCCTAAAAGCCCCATGCACCCTTTGTTTTTTGTGGTCTGGAAAACAGGACATAGAATCATAGAAAGGTTAGGGTGGGAAAGGACCTTAAGATTGTCTACTTCCAACCCCCCTGCCATGTCCTACACAGGATAAATATTCTGTTAACATTTTCTAATGAGTATCCTTTTTGCTTCCCATTCGTGTTTCAAAATTAGTTTGAAAATTTTTATGGTAGACATGTCAGTGATACTTTTGTTTATGAAAATACTTATCTTGGAGAAAGAGATAAATTACCCCCAAAGTCTACATAAATACCTAAATTTCTCTCTCCCCACCGTTTTGACTGTGGAACATTTTTTACATTGTATGTTATGAGGATTGGAGTGCATACTTCTGTACTTGTAAAGTTTCTTTTGCATTATTAGAGTTGGAAAGAAATTGGTTTCTTAGTATACATTGTTTGGTTGTGGATTCTGTTCTCCATCATTTTTATCTATAAATGACAACAGCTTTTTAAAAAATGTAAATGTTTACTTACAGTTTTGCAAATAAGGTTTATGTGATTCTTGCTGCTTTGATTTTGAGTTAAACTAATCAGCTCAGCTTGTAGTCTCCACTCAAACCTTCAGTTTGAGCTTGCTTGGTCTGGTTAATCAACAGTAAGGCACTAGAAGAGCAAGAAGAGGTGAAGAGGCAATAAACAAAGGAATACATTCCTGTAGTTAATACCAGGCTAGTGCAGAAGTTTGCATGTGTGGCCCATGTAGACATAAATATCAAAGATATTGAGCATAATATGTGCACTGAGTGTACATATGTGCAGTTGTTCACATTGAAGTAACAGCTTTATCCGTTGTGGTTGCCTAATGACTTACAAAAACTACTAAGAAAAAAACTTCCTTGATGAGCTCAAACATGCTTCATGCATCATAAGAAACCCTTTTAATATGTAATTCCTTTGATTTATATTGCTAGCTATATATATATTTATTGTTAGATATATATTGTTACATATTTGTGAATGCTTTTGTATGCATATGTGAGTACACACATGCAGTCATAGGTATGCATATATACATGTATGTATACACAAATATGTATAGGGGTTGTATGTGTGTGCTTGTATGTATACATACATATATATGCAAAATATATGGAAATGTGCAAAGATGTTTACATATAATAGGATATATAGCTGATAAATTAAGACAAATCTTACTGATTTTAGTAATAAGGAGCTTTATACAATGTCTTTTAAAGTCAGTGGATGCCCGTTGACTGCAGATGTTTGTGCAGACCAAGTGAATTGTAGGTGAATGGTGAAAAAAAGAACATGCAGTCAAGGTGCAGATATTGAAGTTTAAAACTGAAAACGAGAACTTGAGAGTGAGTTTAGTTAATTGTAAGTCTGTCATGTTGTGAAGAAGGACATGTTGGTGGATTTGTCTTTAGAGCTCAGCTGATATACATTGGAGTTGTTCCGTTATCTACAGGTTCACCAGCTTATATCTACTGACAAGTTTGTTGTCTATTTTTTAACACAGTTAGAATGAAAAACAAATTCTTCTTTCTTTCTAAAAAATGTTCTAAAATGTGCTCTTTGATGCTCTGACTAATTCTGAAAGTCTTGAAGTTAATTGCCATCATTCAAGCTTGTCTGTGTGCTTGCATTTCTCTTTGATGATTACTTCACTCGCCCAAGCTAAATACTAAGAGTGTGCCTTTTTGTATATGTTATCAAAGGTGGGAGATAGAACAGCTAAAGCTTTTGATTTGCTTTCCAAGCATAATTGGTACTTTACAGAGATGTACCATATCTCATGTTGTTTTCCTGTATAAATTTTAACATGTACGTTGTTATTAGGCTTTTCAAGAACATGAAATATCTTGTCTTTTCATCAGTCTTGTTCTAAACACTGTATAGTCATAAGCAGGGGATGGGATAAGGAGATAGGATATGTCAGAAAAGAGAAAGAGGTCTGTCCATGTACTCTCTGAGTAAAATTTTGTGGAGTGGGATTAGCAAGTTGAGCGAGATAAGATGTGGATTGTCCGTGGACCTGGACAGTGGAGGTTTGCATGTCTGACTGTGTGGGGAAAGGAGTGATGACTGAGTAGTGTACAAAGAATGCAAACTGGTAAAAGTAGACAAGGGGTTTTTTTCCTGCTCTGTGCCTTTGGTTACTGGAATCCTAATGTTTTTGCAACAATACTTGGTTAAATGGTTTCAGACAGAATTGACTTTTTGTTTTGCATGTCCGTACTCCTTTAAAGGAATTCTGTTTTTAAGAAAACAAAGATTTGAAAGGTTAGAGATGTCCAAGAAAATGGCCTTTAAGAAAAAAAGACCTGTGTTGTTTTTCCTAGCAGTGAAGAGATGGTTCTGTTTATTAAACTGTGCATACCATATGATGCATTATATTTTTCCATTTGATTTCCTGTAGGGTGATTTCACTTGGAACAGCATGTCAGGGCGCAGTGTTCGGCTGAAGTCAGTTCCCGTTCAAAGCCTCTCAGAGCTGGAGCGTGCTCGGCTGCAGGAAGTGGCTTTTTATCAGTTGCAGCAGGACTGTGACCTGGGCTGTCAGATTACTATCCCCAAAGGTAAGGGCTTGATAAACCATCTCTGTTTAGATTGCTAAGCCACTGACTTCATATCTCAGCAATAAAAGGAAAAAAACACTAGCTTGTTTATTCCACAGACAATGTCTTCTATTTCATTCTGGCTTGAACATAGTAACTAAGTAAAAATGACTGGTAAATTTGTTTGTATTCTGTGTCAAATTCAGGCCACCTGGGGTAGTATCATCTGATCACGGACAGATGTCTACAGGGTAGATAATCTAAATCAGACCTGTTCATGCTAGCATGTCTTTATTCAGTTGAGAGAGAAAGGTTTTTCTTAAACTTCCTGACATCCAAAAGCACACATCTATGTAGCTTGGGTAGATCATGCCTTAGAAGTGCCTTTTACACTCTGTATTTTATTGTCTCTGGAGGAAACCAAGTATCACTAGTTCAGACAGACAGGGAAGACATCTGCATCAAATAAGAGGAATCCTACCAAAGTTTCCTGAAGACAGTGGTGCTGAAAGCAAGTTAATTTTCAGCATAAAATATTGAACTCCTGAGGGACAGGAGTTTAGTTGAGACAGAGAAGATCAGTTATCAGAATCCTGATGCAGGAAACATACACATTGTAGATCTGTACTTAGGTTTCTGTGGAAGAGATCTCAGCCTCACTAAAGGCGATGTGGAAGGTTCCAGAGTTTCCTGTAGGATGGAGATCAAGCTGTTGTGCAATCTACAAATCTGTGTTTCCTGTTGTTTCTTTCCAGTTGTATACTTATTTAAGGAATAATAAGGGACCACTGAATTCTTACCTTTGGCTATGAGCAGAGGTACCATGTGGTACCACATGCACAGTGATTCCACCTGAACAGTTCTTTTTAATCAGTCAAAGGTAAACAGAAAAAGTTATCCAGTCTGTAAAAATAGTTGTGTGGAAAAGAGCAAATGTGAAAGACATCAGCTTGCACATTCAGCAGCTTTTTATGATCTCCGGAAACCTCCTACTGAAACCAATGAAATCAAACTTGCCATTTACAGCAATCTATCAGTTTGTCGTGAGGTGGATACGATCAATGTCTTCAAGCCCCACCACAGCTCCCCTGATCCCTCAAAAAATGTTTCATCAAAATGAAAATAATTTTACAGGACATTCATGGGAGGAACTGGATCACTAAGGGCACTGCAATATTTTCTGGCAGTCTGAACTGCTTACTGGCTGTTCCAGTAGGAGATGAATATACCTACATGGAGGTAATACCATACCAGACAATAGAGTATATATATGTATACAGAATCATAGAATAATTTGGGTTGGGAGGAACCTTTAAAAGTCATCTAGTCCAACCCCCCTGCAATGAGCAGCACCATTTTCAACTGGATCAGGTTTCTCAGAGCCCCATCAAACCTGACATCAGATATTCCCAGGGATGGGGCATTCACAGCTTCTCTGAGCAATCTGTTCCAGTGTTTCACTATCCTCATTGTAAAAGATTTTTTCCTAGTTTAAATCTCCTCTCTTTTAATTTAAAGCCATTACCCCTCATCCTCTTGCAACAGGCCCTGCTTGAAAAGTCTTTTCCCATCTTTTTTTATAATCCTCCTTTAAGTACTGAAAAGCCACAATGAGGCCTTCCTGGAACCTTTTTTTCTTCAGGCTGATCAACCGCAACTCTCTCAGCCCTTCCTGATCAGAGGAGTTCCAGCCCTCTGATATTCGTGGCCCTCCTCTGGACCTGTTTCAAAAGGTCCATGTCTGGCTTGTCCTGGGGACCCCAGAGCTGGACGCAGTACTCCAGGTGGGGGTCTCATGAGAGCAGAGTAGAGGGGCAGGATCACCTCCTTCGACTTGCTGGCCACACTCCTTTTGGTGCAGCTCAGCATACAATGGGCTTTCTGGGCTGTGAAGTCACATTGCTGCCTCATGTTCAGCTTTTTGTCTGTCAGTATCCACTAGGACTTCTCCACACGGCTGCTTTCAATCCCTTTATCCCACAGCCTGTATTGATACCATGGTGCCCAACTGAGTTTCAGGACCTTGCACTTGGCCTTATTGAACCTCGTGAGGTTCACTTGGGCCACTTCTTGAGCTTGTCAAGGTCCCTCTGGACCTCTGTCTATCTTGAGGTGTGCTCCTCAACTCCCTTCTACTTCAGAGAATGCCACATGAAAATACTGAGTAGCAGAAGTCAGTGAGATAATCCGTGTATTAGAAAATACAGAAAACTCTTTGGGATTCTTTGTGGTTCTTTGACAGTTTTTCAAAACTTGAAACATGCTCGTGCCTGCTGGGCATTTGCTTCCTACAGGCATTTGAGTAATTACGTTTACTGGCGTAGGTATTGTGGAAAGTAAAATTTAATTGTTGTGTAATAAGTGTTTGTGCAAACATGCTTGCTGGAAGTTGAGTTAGAGTATAGAAGCATCTCCCTTATCTTTACAATCACAATCATGCCATTATTGGTTCTCTTCATAATGCTTCAGTCCTCCCATGCTTAGAAGCCCCCTTTGTCTCAGCAAGTGCAGTTGGTTAGCACTTAAGGACAGAGCTGGCTATTCCCACATTTGTAAAGGAATGCATAGAATGTAGTGCCCCGTATGTAATCCCTCTTCTCCACTATACTGTAGCTATTAGCTTTAATGAAGTGCATTACTGACATTTGTTAGTTAAATGTCTTGTGGTCACAGAGAGGGGACCACCTCCCACAGGAATTTATTTAGCCAGCGTGTCATTTTTAAGATATCCTACAATTGCACTTCAGTAGACAATTAGAAGGAATGCAAATTGATCAAGAGTTACTATTTTTAGATATGACAGGGTTAATTCAAGTTTGTTTCTTGTTCTGTTGTCTTTCAGATTCTGTAATCAGCATAATTTTTCAGCTCCCATGTTACTCTCCCATCTGCCACCAGCAACTAGACCAAGAATTGTTTATGCTCTCTCTGGATTAATATGTTAAGTTGCAAGAGGCTATCATTTCCAAGCAGATCATTACACAGTAATGTGTACCAATGCAGTTACTCTGTGGAAGTTTTTTATTTTGATGTCTGACATTCTGAATGGCACAACAGTACAATTCTGGTGACAGTTCTTTACAGCTGCTGTTTAGAATAGACTGGTTTTCTCATTTCAGGGAAATCAGCCTTCTTCTTGTAATAGGAAAAAACCCCTATGGTGAAATTCACCTTAGGTGTGCTTTTGTTTTGATTACTTTCTAATTTTGTGAGACCTTGCACATATCTACTGAGAAAGATGAACCTTTTGCTCATGTCTTTGCAAAATAAGGTAAGTCAGGTAGCTTTTTCAAGTAATACAGATTGGTGCAGAAGAGGACTTATTTTTCTTCTGTTCATAGGCTCTGGGTATCTCTTGAGCAGAAGAGGCATCAGATGAGGTTTCGTCAGATCAGTTTCCTAAACACATCATGGTTATAACTCTCCTCCTTCATGGTACTGTCCCACTTCACTAAGCCTGTGTTGTGAAAATTAAGGAATATCTATCAGAGAAGAGGGAAAAATATGTAGGCACCACCAGCGTTCAGACAAGTAGGCATGCTGTAGCAGAATTGTTACAAAAGGCTTTGGCCTTGAAAGTAGTACTTGAAATTGGTTTAGCCTATGATTGAGCTCTTAAGACTGTAAACTGGACAGACCTGTAAACAGTGGCTCATGCTAAATGGTAGGGCATCTCAATGAAAATAAGGGCCAAACTTTATCCATTTCGCCTGGATTTCTCATACACTAATTTCTTCTTTGAAAACTCATTTGTTGGAAGGGAAGGACAATGCAGGGATGTGGGTGCAGGAGGAACAGGTAGGATCTGTGCATTTTTCAGGCCCAGTTTCCTACAGTGCTGTGTGTCCTGGGACTACCACGTGCCGCAGAGCCAGCTCTTCCTCACCTCTGTGAAAGAGGACTCTGCTGTCATAATAGTGGTGTGATATCCACTGTCAGCCAAGTCCAGCTATCTTTGTTATTCCTATTGGTTGGATGAAATCCTGACTTTTCATCTGCGTTTTGACCTCTCCCAGTGTTGATGTTCATGACAGCTACTGCACTTCTGAGGAACTTTTGTTGATCTCAGTAGTGCAGAAGTATAGGAGCATACGTTTCTTTACGTGTACAATGACAAGCAGAAATGTGGCCAATATTTCTAGTAACTCAGGTAGAAATGGCATCTTTGCTTCTGATCTTCCTGACAGCAAGTCTTTGACTTCTGATCTTCCTCTGTGTAAAGAAATAGCCTCGTTCAAATCATGTGTCAATGATGTTTTGTGTTTTATGAATTTGTCCCTTATGACAGCATAAGTGAGACATGTTTTCTTCATAGTGTCAACAAAGAATAATGGAAAGCGGTTGATGTTTTCACATGAATAAATCTCTTAGAGTTCCAGAAGTTGGTCAGTTGTATTTCTCACTGGTAATACTGTCCTATGCTGTAGTCACACAGGTAAGGTTTCTGCACAGTAAGCATCTTGGTATGTTTAGGTAAATTGCATTATTACTGCAATAACAATCCAGCTGCTTGCATAGTCCTGGGATACAAAAGAAATGGGTATGTGTCTTTGCAGCAAAATAGAAAACTCATGTGCTGTTATCACACCATATGTAATCTCCAAAGCTCTGAGGAAGGGTTGTGGATAGCAGAAGACTGAACACGCAGAAGTCTTGTGAACTAGGAATTTCCCCCAGGGAGTTTCCATCCTCCTTCCTCTTGCCTCTTCATAGCCAAATACAGATGAGGTTCTTGATAAACGAGAAGCACTGATGCCTGAATTCAGGTTTGGGAAAACAATTTAGTAAGTGCTATTGACTACTCAAAAGTGTATATGATATTCTTCTGTTGAACTTCTTTTAAAAGTTATAGACAAACCTGGGGAGATTTCTAGAGAAGTGCCAGAAAACAGCTGTATTGCTGCTTATATCTGTTTAATACTGCTTTTACTTATATAAAGCAGAGGTATCACAATAGTGTGTGCTACCACGGCACTGCCCAAAATGGCTTTTGTAAGAAAATATTCCACTTATTCTTGTCCAACCCTATCTGCTAGGGTTGGGAGAGGGCATCAGTAGGAACTCCTTTGGAAGAAGGAGTGAAGACATTGGTTCAGTCAGGAAGGAAGGGATCTTAATAGATGATGGGGAAGAAGTAGATAAGATTTTCTTCTTTTACACAAAACGGCTATAACCTGTTCTAAGGCTTTATGTCTGCATTATAAAAATGATACTACATACTGCCACTTGTAATTATTTATTTTGCCTTTTGTGGGTAGGTCATAATTTGTTATTGATTCATATGCTGCCTCCCACTTTGGGAGCACAGGCTGCCTGCCTCACAGTCTCAGCTTCTGTAGGAAGAAGAAACCAGTAGGTGGGTAATCATCCTGGTAGGTACCAGTCTTTGTCACACAGTGCTTATGCAATAAACAACATAGCAACTGAGAGCACAAAGACCAAACTGGTCCCTTTTTCTCTCCCCACGTTTTTAATTGCCCGATGACAATGGTGCATCTGTGAGTTAACAGGCTAAATTAGCAAGGTGTTATAAAGACATGTTCATTGCCATTACCCACATAGTACAACTTGAACTCAAAATTGATTCCAGACACTGAAGAGAGAGAGCAGACACACAGAGCACATATCTGCTTGTGTGTTAGCTTTGTTTTGATTTGTTTTGACAAGCTTGGGGCAGCCTATAATTATTCATAAAGACATCAAACAAAACTTGTGAAGCCTTTCAATGTATATCAGCCTGGAGGCTACTGTTTTACAGCTGCAGCTAAATATTGCAGCTGCGTGTTTGAAATTACCTGCTGGAAAGAAGTACCTTTCATGGGCTGATGATGATAA